ATCTATACATGTTAGTATTTTCTTTTGAAAAAAAGCATACATTTTTCATTGATATTTTTTTCCAAAAGGAGACAATATTCTCCTTTATAGAAACCTAGTGATTGAGCCACTTTGCAATTCAACAAACAAGCTATTGGACTTTTTTCAACTGGACATTTTGTTCACAAAACTTCAAGTAACATTATAATAATTTTATCACATGGAGAAATATTTCAATGACAAATCACTTGGATATATTTAAAGAGTTACCAACCAGGACTGAAAGGGTTAATACAATATTCAATAAAAGCAATTAAAAAGAAAAGGAAAAAAACTCATTTTATCAAATTGCATTAAAAATAAATTAAGCCAAATTATCTCAGAATAAGATTTTCTCTTTTTGCAGTTATGAAAACAGATTAAGTGCACTTAAAATATGACTATGAGGGGTGCTTTGAATAAGAGGGAACAGCAAATAAAGTTGTCAAAGAATGTCTATAAACAATATATTATATATATATATATATATATATATATATATATATAATAAGCTCTCTATTTTACAAGAGAAATAATGAAATAAATTTACAAAAATTTCAAGAAAAACTTAATCTTCTTCATGAAAACAAAATGCTAAAAATATTAGCCTGACTGGTAACTATCATGAAAGCAATCAGTTTCATTTAATTGCAAGACATACACACAAACACACACACTTTAACTCAAATCACCACATCTATTTATTAATAGATTTCCCCATAGGGTTTGAAAGGGGATTTCTGAATATGAACTCATTTCCATTAATATCCATTACTGAATCAGTTTTATTTTCCTCAATGGAGGGTTCAATAATAAAATACTTTCTCAACATAAGCCTTTGTTGCTTAAATTTCAGTGTACACAGGTGTAGAGGATTTAAATTCTGTGCTATGAAAAGCAGGCATGATAAAAGGCCAAATGTTGAGCACGAACCATGAGAACCACATTGATTCGGTACAGATGTAGAATTAATTTTGTTTATAATCAAAGAAGAAAGCAAAAATAAAACTTTGAATGCATCAAGTAATTTGATACAACAGCAATAAAAAATGACTGACCAATGGATAGGCATTGAAGTTCTTTGCCTTCTTGGCAAAAATGCATTAAGGGGTATGAAAACTAAAATATTAGGGCATCAGCAATTTATTTGCAGACAAATAAAATATGAAGTTTATAATGTTTTTACAAAATGAAATCAACTTTGCTGATGAAATCTTTGTCTTGAAAATAGATTGGTTGTCTTATGTTTATAACATCAGAAAGTCTCCATTTTTATAGAACAAAGAAATGTAATGTATTTAATCTAGAAAGAATAAACAGAGTTTGAAATTGTTGAAAAAATGCCTCAATTTTAAAGAGTTTATATCCTTTATGAATAGGCATCTAATTTAAGCATTATTCACATTTACATCAACCAGTGCTTTATAACAAGATGAATCCTGAAATTAGTCATGGTTTTATCAAATTGATACTCTTTATTGAATGATTTTCAAAATTTTATTTAAAACTTTTCCTTTCAAAGCATTTTTACATAAAATGATTATCGGGATTTTCCTTTGTAAATGGGTTGAAACTGATAGAAAAGTGATTCTAAAATTCTTTTCTGAGAAGCTTGTTGAATAATAAGACAGCATAATTAATAGGGAAAATCAAGAGGCAGGGTTACAAACAAAAGATGATTACTTCATTGACAACCAATCTCGTTACTTTTCACACAAGTCAACCTCACAGATCAATGGAGACTTATACACAGCACTAAACATCTAAACTAGTTGCTTTCATTTCTCTTTCTCAGCAAATGGTTATTTCAGATTTTTGGTATTTAATTTACACTTTTTCAAAAGATTTTAACATTTCTATTTTATAATACATTACAGATTTTAGTGAAAGTTTTAGCCAATAGATTAACAACATTTTTTTCTAATTTCTAATTCACTGATAAGGATTAGATACAGTGCACAGATTACAGAATTGCAAGTGTGTGGAGTAGAATTCTTAATGTATATACTTGTTTTACAGATACTCATTTGCATCTGTTTACTATTCAACTCTGAGGGCGCTTATATTCTGTTACATGTTTATTTTTTAAGATTGTGTGTGTGTGCACATGCATGTGAGAACTGCTGTGCACATGTATGCAAATATTTTGTCAGTTTTCAGTAATAGTAAACATGGAGAAAAGAATAATTACTAAGTAATGATATAGTAAAGCTAAGATAAAAGAATTTAGACAGATCAACTGCTTTCTGGAAATTAAAGCAGAGCTTCATGTCTTTCCCTGGTAAATTTAAAAAAAAAAAATTAATGTTTTTTTTAATGGCAGCATGTTAACTTTTGCAGATTTTAATAAGCAGAGAAAAGGTTGAGGAGGGAGGTATAAATTATGAAATGGAAAAGTAATAAATACTGTAGCAAAGACTTAGTTGCATGTCCTGCTGCTGCTGGCATAAATCTCATATGGTAGAAAGAAGTTTTCTAGGAAAACATAACATCTGCTAACAAATATCACCTTCTGACCATGGCTGAAGAAAGAAAACGTGTGTGTTTGTGTGTGGACATGACTGAAGCACTTTGTAGGGAGGAGAAACAGGAAAAAAATCAATACTTTGGCTGGTTTATTTTTTTGGAGATGGGTTTTTATTTATTTTATTTATTTATTTTTTTTTTTAGTTTTTTTCAAAATCTTTTTTATAGACTTAGGAGTTTCTTTGAAAATATATTTATAAAAACATTCTAAGTATAAAAAAGAGCATAAATATATGAAATCAAGACATTAAACTCAAGAATGAAGATGAATGACAATATTTATCAATGGTGATTTGGAGTCATAACTAGTATGTGTGGCCCAAAAATGTCTGCAAGCTCTGCTGAGATACTGAATGAATTATGATTATGAATTGGAGGGATTCACAAGAAGGAACGTTTGCTTTCCTTTTACTAGGATTTCAAGTATACAGTCTTTAAAAACAACATACATCTAAGTAAATAGAGATATAAATATTCCCTTTATCCTGTACATAGCTTTTCAGCATAAAACCATGACAAAGCCTAGTTTAGATATCTGAGAGCATCCTATTCCTGCAATGTTATGATTAGAAATCTTCAAGAGATCAATTTAAAAGATATTTATCGGTGGATAATATTAATTCCATGCATACAGGCCGTATTTAGTTCAACAAATAAAAGTCACTTTTAATGGGAGATGTAAACATTTCTATCATACAAAATATATGAAACTTTAGAAGAAATAAAAGGGCAAAAATGATTGAGATTAACAATGCATAAAAGCTAATGTACGATTAGGATATCTTGAAAAACTCAACACTTGTACACAAATTGTGGAAGTGGTATCTGGAATAATCTTAGGTGGCTTTTAAATTATTTTAGCAATGAACTTGCCTTAAGGCACTGTTCTTTGTTGAAACTGAGTTTTTTTATGTTTTCTTTTCTTTTTTTTTTCATAAATTCTATGCATTTGTAGTTTGAATGCAATAGTGCTAACTGATAAGTCAGGATGCTCCAGTTTTCTTGACATTACAAAAACAAAAGCAAAAAATAATTGAGCTCTCTACCACAGATGACAGCTAGCATTCACAAAAATGTAGATGTCTTTATCCCTGTGTATAAATGGATGTGCAAGTACCATGAAAGACTACAAAATGATACTACTATCCAAGTCTGCACTATAAAGCCCTGAGATAGTTTAATATAGAATAAGATACTGAGCCAAGCAGTAAATTGTACTCTTGGAGAATGGGTAAAGGGGGTAACTTCCATGTTCCTTTTCTTAACACCACCAGAAGTCAAAGTTACATATCTTATCATTAAGTGCTAACTTATTTATTTATTAAATGAATCAATAAATATAATAAGAGTAATGTGAGCAGTTATATCCAAGTCTACATCAGGATGATGACATATTTAAAAATTAGGATGAGAGAAAAAAAATATTAACTCGCTAAATCAGTGTTTGCTAATAAGAAACAAATCGGGAAAATAAAATGCTTATTGTATACTTTTTTTTTCTTTTTGTGATATAAAAGATTTGTAAGTGTTCTTCTGATGGTGATAATCATAGTGAAGATGGAGATTTATAAAGATGAAATACAACAGGACTTCAGATCCATCAATCCATTCAGTTACTATTTACCTGCCAATTTTGAATAATCAGTAGAAATATAAAGGGAAGAGGAGAAATGTCCAAATTGACACTTTGTGTGTGTGTGTGTGTGTGTGTGTGTGTGTGTGTGTATTATACACATTTTAACATATTTGTTTGCTAAAGATTTGTTTTTGAAGAAACTGATTTTCATATAATGTGAAATAAAAAAATTTCAAAAATAGAAGAAAAGCATATAACTTATTGGAAAAAAAATAACAGCTACTAGAAATATTTCTCTAAAAATATTCTGTGAAGAATTGTGTAGACATTAGGGAGGGGGGCAAAAAGAAATGAACAGGTATTTGATTATATCTAAATGTAAATAAATTCACATACCCATCCATCTACTTTCTTCGTAAATATTAAATGTTTTCACAATCTGTTGGAATCATAAGTATTCCATGTGCGCGCACACACACACACTCACATCCATGCATAAATTAAAAAAATTGCAACTAGATTTAAGCAACAGGTAAAAAATGGGAATAGTTATGCATTTAAGGGGGAATTAGATGAGGGTAACAGTGGCAACCAATGCAGTGGCTACCAAGCTGTATTAGCAGCTGTATAGGTAAAGACAAAAAAAAAAAAAAAATAATATATTGGTATGTATGAACTGTCCATCTTCCCCAGCTAATAGACAATTTATAGCCTGTTGCTATGTCAACAATTCTAACCAACCAAGTGGGAGAGGAGTTGGGTAGGAAATATGTAAAATCTGACAAAGAAGTATGAACAAAGAGACTACCATACAAATGTGCTTCAGTCACTTGGTCTCAATAGAATGAGGTACCCTGAAATCATTGGACACTAAAATCATTCACTGTTGCTCGACTTTCGATCGTTTTGCTAAACAATTTCCTCCTTCAACATGTTTGTCGAGGTTTTTGGGAGTAACAAATCCTTCCCCACAGTGGGGACACTCATTTCTGGACTTCAGCATGTGGATTTGTGATTTCATGTGGCGGTTCAGATCTGACTGGGTCACACCTTTGTAATTGCACAGTTTGCAGCAGAATTCACGAATGCCTGAAAAAGAAAACAAGCATCCAAGTGATGCAATGGGAATTAAAAAAGAGAAGCAATTAAATACATAATGTCTTGCAAAAGTTTGGAAACCCCATCCCCAAAATCATGAAAACAAGATATTTACAATTTAAAAATATTGCATTCTTTCGTTGTTTGCAAAAGTTTACTAGATAAGAAATATGTCTTAACCTAAGATGAAAAGTTAGTATTTATAAGAATTATATTTTTAAGTATTTACAAGAAAAATATTTTTGGTCACTGTTTTGGCTCTGGAAAGCATTGAGGCTACAAATCTTTTGCACAAATCATCATTGATTTCTTATATTCAAATTGACTTTATTACTTCTTTCAGATTAATAGGTGTTGGTAATTTTCATTTGTGCAATCTTTCATTTTATAACATTGCACAAATCCATTAGTGGATTGAGGTCTGATGAACTGGGCAGCCACACCAAGAGCTTAATTAACATCATAATCCTGAAACCATTTTTTTCTTTTATACATGCCACAGTAGAGTGTTGTGCTGTTTTTTGTATCTGTATGAATATGCAAGTCAGAAACAGCACCATTTTAAATGTTATTTGATATTTAGAAAGCCTAGTTTAGCCAACTGATTATTGGTTGGAGGCAGGATTTGAGCAGGGGGAGTGCAAAATCCTGTATTCAAACATTAAACTCCTCAAACATTGATAGGAAATATGCAGCTATTTACTCTAAAAAGTTGATTAACAATTTATGTGAATGCCAATGGATCAGAATTTCTTGGAGACATGTATTCATTTGTAGAAAGCTTGTGTGCTGGAATTCACTTTGTGAAATGAAAGAACTTACCCTGATGCCGCATCATATGCACTTTTAATTGGCTGTTGGTACGGGCATAATAATCACAGAACTTACACTTGTATGGCCGGATATCTATAGAGAAAATGAGAGAGAGAGAAAAAAATTAAATGAAAATTCACTCAACTAGTTGTTTCTTAATATCTACAACAAATTACAATTAGTGCTTGAATTTTAAAACTACTTCTGTTCACCAGATGAATTGTTTCACTAATTTTAAAATGAGCATGATGATCATAATAGCAGCAGCTACCTACAATTTTAGTTACATAATAGTCTAATTACTAAAGCTGTTTTTGAAGACAAAAAAATTTACTGAAATTCCTTTTGCAGATGGGAGATTACATTTCTGTACTGCTAAACATTTCTTCATCAGTCTTTTAATTATTATTATTGCCTTGTATCACAAGTTCTAATTAAAGCTTACTTCCTATTATTCACCTGAGAAAATGCTCTTAAAAATGGAAAGTCAGTTGTAATACAAGGTAACCCAAAAAGTTATGTCCGTTTTTTGATTAGTCATTGAATGAAGTTGAAATATATACGAAATGCGTGTAGCAATTGTTTTCAAATTCGGACAGCCGGAAGTAGGAACATCAGACGTTATAACAAAACACGCACACCGTGCCCGGCCATCAGTTATAAGCCGGACAGCTGTGAGAAGGATGGAAGTGTCTAGAGATCTCATTCGGGGCTGTTTGCTTTATGACTTCAAAGTGGGCTTATCAGCAGCTGCATCAAGTTGCCGCATATGTCAAGCGTTTGGGGATAGTGCTATGGATAAACGTACTGCAAGGTGTTGGTTTCGAAAATTCAAGTCGGGAGATTTGTCTCTCCATGATGAGCCTTGCAGTGGACGACCACAGGTCTTGAATGATGGAGTCCTGAAAGGGGGCCATTGAAGAGGACAGTAGTCTAACGTGTGATGAACTTGCAAGACAGTTCAACGTTTCCGATGAAACAGACTTCACCTGCACCACCTAGGTAAGATGTACAAACTGAGCAAGTGGGTTCCGCAAACGCTGTTGGAGGTCCACAAGGTACAACGAGTGGCAGCTTGCGTATCGCTTCTTTCTCGCCAACATACCGCATCCTTATTCAATCGAGTGCTTACCAGTGATGAAAAGTGGGTTCTGTACGAAACTCCCAAGCATTCCAGACATTGGTTGTCCCTCACACCGCAAGACCGCCTATGCACCCATGCAAGATTATGCTTTGTGTCTGGTGGACCAGTCGTCAAGTGGTTCATTACGAACTGCTACAAACAGGCCAAATGGTCACTGGAGACCTATACTTGCAGCAATTGAAATGTGTGCAACAGGCATTGCGCCATAAGGAGCCAGCACTGGTGAATTGCAAATGTGTGCTTTTCCTCCATGACAACGCCAGGCTGCATGTCGCACGAGTGGTCAGGGACACCATACAGCAACTTGGGTGGGAGACTTTGTGCCATCCACCTTATTCACCTGAACTTGCACCATCTGATTACCACCTCTTCCACTCCCTGGATAATCATCTTCATGGGAAATCCTTCACCAATGCATCAGACTTGCACAAAGCCCTCACGGACTTTGCGTCAAAACCCCCAAGTTCTACCGCAAGGGCATTGAACAGCTGGAGACATGTTGGCAGAAGGTGCTGGATGCCAATGGCGATTACTTCGAAGACTAAATATAAGTTACACATACTATGAAGCATTTTCTTTTTTTCCTTTAAAAACAGACAGAACTTTTTTGGTTACCTTGTATAAAACTGCATGAAATATTATTGCATACAGTTTCCATGTTATCTTCATTGTTATTTTAACAATGTCTTAGCTAATATTTTCTTTGCTCTTCTTCACATCTTTGTTGCAGTGTCAATTAGAATTTGACTACTTTTTTTATTTTTGCCATTTTTGTTCCTCTCCTCAAAAAGAAAAAAAATCACAAGACTAGATGGTATAGTTCTTGTGTATTAAACAATTTTGGAAGAAACTAGTCTTTTCTTAGCCAGGAATAAGCTTTTCATTGATCCCTGATAAGAAAGGTGTTGCATTTACAGAACTAGTGCCAAAGTATTTCAAATAACCTGAAACTTTAACCCAGATACAGAAGAACTTAGTTGTTAAATTATTTTCTTTCTTTTTGTTGTCGAGTGTTGATATCTACATTTGGTTTTGCTGCTGCATTCATTTTTTTTTTTTTTCTCCTGTTCATTCTTGTTTGTTCTTTTCACTTCTTGTTAGAGTGAATATGCTTCTTCTCTCTTCACAGAGTCTGCTGTGCCCAATTTATTTTTCAATGTTCTTTAATGTTTAAGGACAGCTAGAGTTTAAATTATTTTCAAACACCACTACATGGGCTGTTATATGCAACTTTGTTCCAATTTTTTTCTGTAGAAGAATGACCTTTGTGAGAAAGTTGTATAATTGCATTAGAAAAAAGCTACCTTGATGTCATGCTAACTGGAGTTTCTTAGGATTATTTTGAAAACTTTCCTTATATAGGGTAGATATACAAAGATGAAGATGACAGTAAATGAAAAGTGAAACAATGAAAATATAACATAACATCATAACATCTCATAACATCAGAAAACATGAAAAATGATTTAAATCTTTGACTCTAATTATCCCTCTACTAAAAATAATGCATTAATTCACGACAATCATGTAAATATGAAACAGGAAATTGCAGAAGAAACAGCAAATGCCTAAATCTGCATGAGTTATGATATTATAATTATATTAGCATATAAAAGAATGCAATATAGTTATACATTTTTCAACTACTAGACTTGATCTTTCCTTCATTTCAGATGAGTAATTTTATTGAATGCAATTCCTGAGAAGTAGAGATTAATGAAAGGCTCTTGGTGACATGTTTTATCAGACAACTGAACCAACTGAGGGTTTAAATATTTTTTTTATATCTTGAGTAAAATTGATTATAACTCAGAAAGTGCAAGGCACAAATTGACTATGACAGGTTTTAAATAGGTCAACTTGAAACATTTGTCTATATTTCTGAAATGAAGTATTGTAATTATTTACATTGTCCGCACTGTTTTCCTCATCTCAATTGTCATATTCACAACGTTTCGGACATTGTACACTCCAGTCTTCTTCAGGTGATTGGAATTTCGAACTGAACCCTTATTTTATCCACCAGTAGATTGTTTCATCTGCCATGGCTTTTCCGGATGTCTCAGTTATCTCCCTTTGACTGAACTTCCCATGTTTTTGTCCACAGTAGCCAGGTAATTGAACTCACAACTCTTTAGGTCAAGTTACTGGATCCAACCAATGCTTTTATCCATTGAGCCATGTGTCCATGAGGATAGTGTATGAATTTTTGGGAACTTATAAACTTAATATCTCAGTAACCATTTTTTACTAGAGCTTATGTTGCAATTTTGTTATTATTGCTTTTCTTTAGTACTCTCTGTATTACTGGTTCTCATATTGTATCCATTGCTATGCTTGGCCAACTTAGGAAATTTTTGTGGCCTAGCATATGTGCTGATTCCTAAAGTTATTGTACTTTCCAGTTTGTCTATTATTTCAATCTCAGCCCACAGGAAGCAGTGATCTCCCTTTTCCTTCCATATGTGGTCAGCTACGCCTGATTTTTCTGTATCTCCTTGTTATGGATTTACGATGTTCTTGCAGTCTTACCTTAATGGGGTGGCCTGTTTCTCCTTTATATTTCTTACCACAGCTGCACAGGATGGTGTACACACAGTCCTTAATCATGTTCTCCTCTATGGGGGGAGGGGTCTTACTTGAAAGAGGTGATTGCAAAGTGTCAAACCACTTTTGAAAGTTGTCCTGATGTTATATGGATGACAGATCTTTTGTATTTTTCCAATAATCCCTTCACATGAGGTAGGCAGACTGAAACTGTTTTCTGAGTGTTGCTATCCTCTTGTACCCTTCTATTCCAGTTTATCAGAGCTGTTACCATGTACCCAGGGTAGATGTTATGTTGTAGGGTACTGCTTATACTGACCATCTCTTCTTCATATGTCTCTGGGTGACCACTTATGACTTTTGCTCGATGTTGAAAGTAACGAACGATCGCTTTCTTTACACTGTGAATTTTGGGGAAACTGTATATATAAGGTAGCTTGGTGTAACGCTGCGATAACTGCCTGTATGTCTTAGGTGGGAAGGGGTCCTTCTTGATTAGGATCTGCGATAATTTTCATTGTTGGATTTTTCTTTACTGTAGCTACCATTTTTAATGAGGTCTTCCAGTTTTGCTGTATATTCCGATTTGTCCATCACTACAATTGCAATGAACTTGAAACATAGTAGGCAAAAAATGTTAAATATTTTACTTTACAAATATCTACAGAAGGATACTATGAAAAGGAATGAAAATAAATGACTGTATAGTAAATTACATTATCTAAACTGAATGACTTGTACATCATTTATGAATGAACTTGCTATTTTTCCTATTTTAATTGGATTCTGTATGTACTTTGTACTCAGTTTCTCTGTGTTAAGTATCAAGAATATTTTTCCCAGGATAAAGAATATAATAATGATATTGTTTTCATGGGAAAAATCCTTTTGGAACTTGGATCTTTTTGCTTCAGATTGTACCTAACACAAAGTGTTTTTACAAGCATTTCAGCAAAATGAATTGAAGATTTTGCAAAATACAGATTTGAGAATGAAAGTAGAAGATAACATTAACCTTTTTCTCGCTGGAGTTTTCAAAGTTATACTTAATTAACTAATGATGTTAGTTTAAATATTTTATGCAGAAAGAAAATTTTTATAGAAAAAATGTGCACGTGAAGAGAGGCAACATGAATGTGAGGAACTGAGACAAGTCAAGTTACAATAGAGAAAGTGAAGAAGACAGGTAAATATTGTTATCTTTAATCAACTGAGAGGGAACTGACATAGATATATATGGTTTTCATAGAAAACCCACAAGAAACCTAGTAATGACATTACTGCAGAAATAATATTTAAATCACTTTTTAACTTCTTTTGGCTCAACAAATTCATTTAAGTTGGACACAAGAGGGGGAGCCAAAAGTTTGTTTGGAAATATTGGGATGGGATGCGGGTAGGGACTCATTTAAAGGGACTTATTTCTGAATTATAAAAAAGCACACTCCTGTATGAAAAGAAATATGTTACACTGGTTAGAAAACAGTTATTAAATTTTAAATGAAAATAGTTGCTAAGAATAAAAGTTAAAAGATTTACCAGTAAATAATTTTTTTCTAATTCATGTATATTAACATTTAAGTTGAAATATTCTCCTATAAAATAAACTGAACTATTTCTGTAATCTTAAATATTTTGCTCTTCAGGTACATATTACAGAAAGCGTATTCCTTATAGTAATAACCATTTGTAGAATTTGGGCAAATATATTCATGACTTTTCAAGTATATAAATTTAAGACTTAGCATCCAAGATTGGAGAAATTAAAAATAGATTTGGGATTAATATATTCACCTTAAACATTATTCTATTAACACTGTAAAGTTAAGTTTAAAGTTTCATGAATACAAGAATAGAGATATATTATATATTTTAAGGTTCAGAAAAATTGTGAATACTTTTAATCTGCCAACCAAGAAGGACAAAAAGTAAGTTTATGCAAATTTATTTGAGAAAAAAAACAATTGTCTGATTGCAATGAAGAAAATTAAAAATAATCAATAACAAAACCTGACAATACTGTCAAAAGAATTCTAGTTATAATTCCTTGTTTTTCTTAGGAAGATGTGAATTCAGAAATATTCAGAGAAATAGCAGAAAAGAAGTATGCCTCACATCCACAGGAAAGGAAGAAAAACTTAGAAATGTTGAAACAGTTTAAAATCCAAAAGATTGATAGTTTTTCAATTTCAAAGTAATTGATATTTTACTGATCCTTTACACAGAATATTAATTTTTAGTATTGATTGGATTCAGTTTACTTCAACACAAGGACAAATTCATGGATCACCCAGTATGAATGAAATTTAGTAGTAATGGCTTGCATGTTAACCATCATTATATGGGACTTTGGTGAAGATTATGAATAACTTTTTTTAACAGAGTAAACAAATAAACTATGAAGCAGAAAATATTTATTTTGATATTTTGTATAAAATTATTTTTACATTTGTTTCTTAATCTCTATTGTTACCATTTGATTTTTTCTGATAAAAAAATTAAAATTTTAAAATTTTGAGTACACCTGACTGAGATCTTGGGAATGGAAAATAAATTAGAAAAACTGTATAACAATAACTGTTCAGCAAAATCTGTATTCATCCCTAAGTTACCTTCATGTCTGAAATAATTATGTATTTGACAATGTTCAAGCCCAAGTAAAAAGCAAGCACTCTCACTTGTAATAATGACAAAACATATGCTTTCTACCCACTTTCTACTGTAATGAACTATGCTTAGTATCAATATATATTCATTTATAATGTAAAGAAAATTACACATTCAACAGAATCTACTACAGTCAACTTTCAGTTGTCAGAAATATTTTTTTTTTCAAATTGATCATCTGCATCAAAATATATTTCACTTAAATATATGCTATATAAAAATACTGTTAAAAGATATAAATTCAATAATTTAGTAGTTTATATCTTTTATTAATTAATTGTTAGTAAATGACTACCTGTCCCAAAAGCCCAAGTGCATAAAGATTTTATGCTCTAACTTTTAAATAGGAATTTGTATCAATCAGCTAAACTGCAAAATGCATGCTGACTGTTAGCTTTGTTTTTTTTTTTTATATAAAATATATATATATTTTATATAAAATATATATATATTTTGTATAAAATGAAAGTAACTCTTTAAATACCATCTACTCTATCTTATCCTCTTATTGACTTTTGAGATGGCTAAAAACTCAAATTTTGAATAATTCATTGATTTACTTATATAAAACTGTCACAATTGAGAAAGAATCGCATTGACATACTGTATGAAACAAAAAAAAATATTAATGCTTTTCTTTACATTTTTCCCATTTTTAAATATAGAGATATGCCTAGGAGATAAATCAATAATCAAAATAACAAAATAGTTAATTAATTGGAGCATTTTCCTGCCAACGATTTTGACTAAGCATTAATTCTGACCTTTTATTTTATTTTCTTCTTGCCTTACCTTGTTTTTGGAAAAATCTTTTTACTTTGATTTTTACTTCTTGTGTGCAATTCTTATTTAAGTACAAATATTTAAAGTGGATGAGATTTCTGAATTTAGGGCAATAATTTTTTCTCATGTAATCAAACTCAATCCATGATAGTTTTGAAATTTATTTGGAGTTAATTGTTCAAGAATGAGAAATATATTTCACTCTGGCACTGCAAGTAATGCAGAAGTAAAAGGGTTGAAATATACAGGAATTAATTGTAAATATTTATACACAGGTTTAAAATGATAAAGTCATATTTAATTAATGAGTTTTGATATACAAATATCAAAATGATATATACAATGAATTGTTTTTTAGATGATATTTCTATGATTTAACAGATATTACATATCAAAAATGACATTAAACATTTGGATTCTGCTCAGATATTTGGGAAAGTATTCTTATTTAGTCAAGTAGAATGTGGACACTGATGAAATAATCAGTAAAAGACTACAATGTAAAAACATACAAATGGACTCTACTGAACATGCATGCAAGCACACTCGCATACACACACACAAACACACACACACGTAATCAATTACAAGATGAAAAAGAAGGAAAACTTAAATTTTGCCAAATTTAAATAATGACAGCAGCCAAATTAACAATTATTCTCCCAGCTAGTTCTTTAGAAAACATTTTTTGAATAAATGAAATGAAAATTGTGACTATACAGTTTAAATTTAGGCCCTTTTTAAAATTTTTTTTATTACAAAATAAATTTAAAAAATTTGTGTAAACAAAAAAAACAAAAACAAAAAGGAAATAAAATTGTTTTTTTCAAGAAAGAAGCCAGTTTAAACCCTCACCAGCTTTTGGTGCTTGTTTTGTTACATCTAGGGCAAATGTATATCCTTCCAGTGTCATCTCCCCGTGCCTGGACTGATTCACACCAGTTTCAACTGACAAGTGAAAAAAGATTGGACGCGTTCATGGACATATGTGCAAAAATAAAAATAAAAATATCCCCAATCAAAGACAACAGCAAAAATAGATGGAAGTGAAGAGGATCACACACAAAACAATCATCATTAATTAAAAAAAAAAAAAACCAGAAAATTACCCTTTATGAAAAATTTCAATAGATTAAAATCATCTTATATTTTATAATAGAAATTTGCAGTGAACATTTTTAGATTATCACCAAAAGTTTAACTATTATACTTCAGTTATTTAAATGAAACACATTTTAAATATTTGAAAACTGGTAAAAATATTCAAAGATAATGAACAATACATTGTAAATCAATGAAATTACAGAAAATATTTAATAAGTTAGGCACTTCTTTAGGGTAACATTCAGAGTCTCAAAATGTTGATAATTTTATAAGGTTTATCAAATAATAGTAATTTGAGATATCTAGGGAAATTCAGCACTTATATCCAATAAACATTGAGAAAGCATGACTACAATGCAGAAGTGCTCTCTTAAAATAAAATTATATATACTATATCATATTTAAATATAGAAGTTTATGCTTTTGCATTAAAAACTGATATTCACCAATAATTGTTGGTAATATTTCAGGATATATTTAGTGATAAATATGCTACATGAATTTCATCTTTTAATAAATGTTTTATTAGAAGCATTTAGAATAACTTATTGAGGTTATGAGATTTTTTATGCAATTTAAGGATTCTTCATCATATTGTATATATATATATATATATATATATAGCTAGACAGATAGATAATAGTATTGGTATTTTTTAATTTCAAATATATAAAAGATAACCATGAGAAAAATATAACCTCAAAAAAAAGAAAAAAAAAAAAAGAAAAGATATTGTTAAGTCATTGAATGACTGAAAATTGTAAAAAAAAAAAAAAGTTGAGCAGAGTACAATCAAAAAAGAAACTGAAGACATTTACAATTAGAATTAGAAAAAAATTTGATTTGAAGAATATCATAAAAAATTTGAGGAAAATTAAATGGTTACACAAAAGTGTATTGACCAACAAGAAAATATTTGAATATGGTAATGTTATAAATTTAAAAAGAGATGCAAAATATTAAGAACATTGGCAAAAGACAAAATCAACCAAACTAGTTTTATTTTAAGTAAACATCATAAAAGAAATATGTTAAGTTGGGTGAAAAATACTTGAAACCTTATTTCTCAAAAGTCATTTTTGATGATGAATGTAGAGTTCTACTGGGTTGTGGGTTGGGTTAAAGATAGAGCTAGACTGGATTAATGTTTGGGTCTTTTATAGAAATAACCAATCAACATGGCTTAGAAGACTAGAGATGGGTGGTGATGTAATGTTCTTGGTTAGAAATGGCAGGCAGTAAAATTATAGATCCTTTCATAATTGATGATCAAAAGGAATGCAGAAAGTTATTCTAAGTTCTTGGACAAGATACCTTTTGAATGGAAAAAGTCATAACCAAGAAGCTAAAGAGTATGTTTATACTTGACAATGTTCTTTCACACTTTTCAAAGCTGCCTACTGCCCACCTTGCCAAAAAAAAGTTTTCAAAGATACCAAATTAATGGAATGACTCACCAGTCTCCGGATATTAATCCAATAGAAAATGTGCATACATACACTTAAAGAGATGTATATAAGAAAGAAAAACAATATTCAAATAACTCTGGGAAGCAATAAAAATTATTGCATGTTACATTCTAAACAGTACAAAGGTTTTACTTGGTGAAAAATTGAAAATTATAGAATATCAAGGAGCCCATATTAATATGGGAAACAATAATATTTTATTCAGGTGTAAGGGATATTACGTTAATCAAATACATATTTCTATGGCCAATTCTTTTTTAATTTATTTAGAAATAAAACTATATAATACATTGTTTGCTTAAAAAACCTGATCCCATGCACAAAATAAGTTATAAATATTTTTTATAAAGTTGAAACACATATATTGCTCATATAAATATATCCTGAAAATTTTATTGTGAAATCACTGATTTGCATATAAATATAGGCAAGCAAACATTTTGTATAGAATTATTTTCAACCCCACAACCCTGTAAATATCAGCTCTCAATGTTCAGCCTGCAGTAAGCTACCCCCATGTATACCCTGCCATAATATATGACGACATCATTGCAAATAATGCATAAAGTCATGCAAACTGAGATTTGGAGGGCTGATATTTACCGGGGAGGTTTGAGTGTGTTGAACGCTAAAGGATTAAAGAAGACCAAAACCTGTTTTGAAACTTGATCAATTAGCAAGCTCTTAATTTCTTCAATTCAAATCATTTAATTAACCTATTGGTAATAATGGTTAAAATTGTTAAATTAATTTGTGATAATACATTCAGAGAAACACATTGCAATTTTGTGTTTCAGATAAATTTAATTGCTATTTCTTTGCATGCTGTAGGAGAGTTATAAACATGATATATTGCATTGACTTTGAAAGAAAATCCAGTCCCAGATTATTATTATTATTATTATACAAATGCACAACTTGATCAGAATTATAATAGGTAAAATTATTGCAAGTAAATGTTTAGTGATAAAACAGTTAAGAGAAAAATTGAAGTAGTGACATTTGAAAATTTGAATCATTTCAGCATGTAATTCTTCAATTAATATGAAACCTACAAATTAGACAAATGAACAATTACAGCTGATCTGCACATTCTTTAAGCAAGCAAATCACTTCAAACAAAGCAGAACTAAGACATCTCTAAAATAGACAAAAACAGACAAAGAGATAATGAGAGACAAAGAAAAACAAAGAGTTTGGGGCAACATGACAAAAAAACCATGCAGATTGCTTAAGTCATATTTCTAAGTAACATAATAGAATTCTGTACTATGAAATGCCTCAAGCCAAAAATGTCATGGCACACACACCTACCTTGTTCCAATGTAGAAAGATTAATGCAAACCATGCAAGGATTGAGATGATTATTTGAACTTTAATGACTATTTCTTATATATTAGTCATAGCTAAGAGAGGTTAGTTGAGTAGCAGGAAAATAAAGACATTCACCAATAAACTTTCAAACAAATCTATTAACAGGAGAAATTATCAAACATCTCTCAGTTTCAAGAAGTTGGTGAAAAACATTAAAATTTCACAGGAAAATTTAGAGTCAAATGTAAAATCCCATGATGTGAATTGGAAAGAATATCTACCAATTTGTGAATATTTTCTATATGAATTATCAAAGAAATACAAAAGATTAAAAAAAAAAGGAAGGAGCATAGTGAAAAAGAATATAAATCTCAATGAAACTTTACTGGGAAAATATACTTATTGTAAATTCAATTTGATCATTTTATAAAGCCCTACAGACCTAAGAGTCTTGAGAACCAATAGCAGTTGAGACAGTATGTCTCAGTGGAGAGGTGGTTAATCTAGTCTTGCAAACCATTACAACTGTAGTGAGTTTAATCCTTACTGAGTATTCTACAATTGTGGCCTTGTGTCATACTGAGCTAAGATCAGTAAATACTTATTATTATATAAGTGTGATCTGCTGTTTTACATCATTTAGAAGCAATTATTATTCTTTTAAGATAATAGAAAATTATCAGCCAATCAAATCACAATTTAAACCAAAATAATCTTAAAATGAATCCAAATGAAGGAAAAATAAGAATTTGCATTTAGAGGTTGTTTATTTGATAAACACTTTACTTTTAGAATTCAATAAAGCTTCCACTTTTACTCATAATCACTGTTGTGAAATGTAGTATTAGTAGTAGCAGTATTTCAAATTTGCTCACAATTACTACTCACAAAATACGTCCCCTTCAAGACTATTCAAGTTTATATAGAGTGTCTTGTTCATATGCAAAATTCTTACATTTACATATCAATACATCTTTCTGAAATGGAGAGGTTTTATGCTCTTGGTTAATCTTTTGCTTCTATGTTCTATTTCATTTTGGGGATTTCCTTACTCTACTACTCCCTCTCCTTCCATAGATCTTATCATATTTCTGTTTGTGAGAGACCTTGATCTGTTTCACACTCTTTTATATTCATGACTACCTGCTTTCACTTGAACTTTATCAGAAATTTTATAACAGTTTTGGACATCTAAATTTTCATCCCCTTCATTTTCATCATGTTCATTGTTTTTTATGTCCTTTGACATTTGTTCATCCATTTCTACATCTTTGTTTTGGGGTCTTATTTGATCTACATACATGGGCTATTATACAGTCCTCTTGTTTTTCTATTATGGTTGCTGGACTTGACTCCTTATTCTTTTCAGACCATATTCTTTCCTTTATAGAATATGACATTGTTAGGTGAGCTCTGATTTATCTTTCCATCAGTGCTGATGGACTCTCTAGTCTTCCAGTGTGCAGTATGGTTTAGGCCCATTTTTATGGTTGCACCATCCTTTCCACTATACCATTTGATTGAGGGTGATATGAAGATGTCTTGTAAGGTCTGCATCCTATCTGTCATCAGCATAAGTTGAGTTCTTCTTTGCAAAACTGATGCATTGTCAGATAAGAAAATTTCTTGAAAATAAAACTCTTAACATGTTTCACCATACAACTTCTATTGTCTGGCACACAAATTACTTCAGGTCATCCTGAAAAAGAATCTACTAGTATTAAGAAAAGTATCCTTCCATTGATGTATGCATGATCTGCATGAACTCTGTTCCAGGGCTGTAACTCTTTAGGCCATGAATATAATTTTCTTTGTGTGAAATTTTTTTTCTTTACATTTGGGACATCATTTTTACATATTCTTCCACATTTCTTGAATATCCCAGCCACCATACTTCTAACTTTAGCCTTTTTTGTGTAGCCACTGTATGTATGTCATCATGTACACAATTTATTAAAATCCTTCTTTATGTTTCTGGAAGTACCACCATATCACTGTTGTAAATTATTCCCTTTCTACCATCAGTTTGTGTCTTACATCCTTGCAGGGGTCTTTCAGCCT